CCCCCACAGTCACATCAGTCTCTGTACAGAGGAGCTTACACTCTAATGTCCCCCCCACAGTCACATCAGTCTCTGTACAGAGGAGCTTACACTCTAATGTCTCCTCCCCCCACAGTCACATCAGTCTCTGTACAGAGGAGCTTACACTCTAATGTCGTCGTCGTCCCCCCCACAGTCACATCAGTCTCTGTACAGAGGAGCTTACACTCTAATTTCGGAATATGCTCACACACTGGCTTGGGGGGATGGTTTACACTCCACGTCATATCGATGATTTTAGCTCCCGAGGTGTCATTTCCGTTACTCCTTTTTCGTAATTATAATCATCGCTTTAATCATGTGACCTTTGCTTTTCAGCGCGGTGACTGCGGCATTTCAGTTACATCTCCTTTACGAATCGCCACCGTGCTCCTCCTATCAGCATGCTCCTTTTCCGTTCAGTGGGTTGGCTCGTTGTGCTGCTTCTTCTGCTCCGATTCTGAGTGCTGCTGTACAGAGACTGCGTGAGGCTGGTGGTAAGTCAGGTTCCGTTACTTACACTGGATGCATTTAATGATGTTTCCCCCACCAGCAGCCTCCAGTTTTATATTCACCTGTCCACCCTCCTGCCACATCCATACTGGGCAACTCACGGGGGGCCACATGCTGTCACCTCTGTGGATAGATAGACTATAGATGGCCCCTCCATAGGAATGAGGGAGAGAGAGTCCACACAGCTCACCATAGAGTCCGCACAGCTCACCATAGAGTCCGCACAGCCCACCATAGAGTCCACATAGCCTACCATAGAGTCCACACAGCCCACCATAGAGACCGCACAGCCCACCATAGAACCTGAACAGCCCACTAAAGAACCTGAACAGCCGACCTAAGACCCTGGACTGCCAACCATAGTGCCCGTACAGCTTCTTGAGACCCTGCACAGCCCACCAAAGGCCCCACACAGTCCACCATAGAATCCGCACAGCCCACCATAGAGTCCACACAGCCCACCATAGAGTCCGCACCACCCACCATAGAGTCCGCACAGCCCATCATAGAACCTGAACACTCCACCAGAGACCCTGCACAGCCCAGCATAGAGCCCGCGCAGCCCAGCATGGAACCTGCACAGCCCACCATAAAGTCCGCACAGCCCAACATAGAGGCCACACAACCCACCATAGAACCTGAACACCCCACCATAGACCCTGCATAGCCTGCTAAGACCCCAATACAGCCCACCATAGAATGTGCACAGCCTCCTAAGACTCCGCTCAGCCCTCCTGAGATCCCTGCACAGCCACTTCAAATCCTCTGCTGGAGACATCAGGCCAGCACACCGGAGCAGCACAGAGTATGTAGCTTCATGTTATTCTGCATTGATGCATAATGCTTTGCTGGGATTTGTAGTCCTCTATAGCTGGTGGTATTCTGCATTGGTGCATAATGTATTGCTGGGATTTTTTAGTCCACCACTGTCCTAAAATCATGAATCTGTTGTTTTAGAAAAAATATCGCGTGACACTAAAAAAAAAATTGGTAATTGGTATTGGTGATTACTTGGGGAAAAGTATCGGTACTCGTACTCGGACAGGAAAAAATTATATTGGTGCATCCCTAATGTATACTGTATATATAATATACCCATATATACTATGGCAGGGATGGGCTAGGACAGGTAAGTATGGAACTTTCGGGGGGCTGCTGACCAAGTGAGGGGGGGTAACTTAAGCATGATGTGACTGTGGACGTTATTAAAAGGGACCTTTCAGTAACTTTACTCATCTGCTTGAATAAATTCCTTTAAAGGAGAACTATGAGGTCAGGGCTTTTCCCCATAGTTCTCCTTAGGGTAACGGGAGGACACAAACTAGCGTCCTCCCGTCACCCAAAGCTTAGTATATAGGGAGCTACAGCTAGCTGTATACTGAGACGCCGCAGCTAAAGAGGATCCCGACAATTACCGTATGTCTGGATCCGCCCAGCTGCGTGAGTGACAGCTGGCTCTGCCTATCTAGAGGCAGAGCCAGCTGTACCCGCCCCCTCCCCCGTCCGTTCTGCCAGTCAGCGCTGGAGGATCGGAGCGGGGAGGGGGGAATCCAGCCCCGCCCCTGTCACAGCAGAGAACCGTGACAGGATCGAAAAGTGAGTGAACGCCGGTATGTGTTCTCTCACCTCCCGATCCATTGTCATAACCCAGTCAGTTTGGCAGCTCATTGCAGGCAGCTTGCCCTGAGAGTAGCCGGATCGTGTAATTACCTTCCTGAGTCTTGGGGCAGTTGGTGGCTTATGGGTGAGTCTCCAGGGTTAGGTTGAGGCTAAAGGAGTGAAACATTGTTTTTCAGGTGTAATAAATGACTTTGTATCAATATTAACCCTCCCACAACTGCTGCACTTATTTTATACAAAATGACATATAAGTATCCTGAACCCGATGCCACGGAAAAAAAAAAGTTGGGTACCAATGGATACTTCAAGAGCCTGCACATGCACAAGGGAAGAAGCAAGTTAACGCTCCCAGTGTTCATTATTCCGATATCCAGAATCTTTCCAGTAGGAACTGTTTTGTTTGCGGTTCATTCTCATTCTGTACCAGCTGGTGGCGCTCTTGTGATGCTTTTCTGCAGCTACGGCGTTCCGTTTTCGGAGGCGTCTTCAATGGCAGCGGTGAGATGTGTGAATGAAATAATGAATAACAGGAAAAGATACAACAAGGACACCTGGAACTTCCTGTCCTGATACTTCCTCAGGCTCCGTGGAGGTCCTCTAAGAGGCCAGATGAGGCTCGGTCTGCTCGATATAAGGAGGCCCATCGTGGCGTGTAAAGAGGGGGGAAGATATCTTCATGTAAAAAAAATACTTTTCATGTAAATGTGACAAAATCACATTTTGGCTTTAAAACTAAAGCTGAACCCCTTCTCACCGGCATTCTGCGGGCCCTTTAAGGGGACGAGGTTCCTGACCATGTGATCACTGTGATTGGCTGGCTCCCGGTTCAGTCACTGTGCTGGGGGCGCTGAGTAAGCAAGCTCTCAGCACAGAATTGTGGCGCTGGCTGTACACATATATGTAGCAGCCCGTCATCAGTGGCGTCATAAGGAGGGTGCGGGGGGTGCGGCACGCACCCTGGTGACACCATTGCAGGGGTGACACCAAAATGTCTGACAGTCATTTTGTTGTCACCCCCTCTAAAAAAGTCGGGCACTCGATCACAGACCGAGAGCCTGACAGTGCCAGGAGAGAGGAAGGGACCAGGCGCCATTACGTCATCCCACCGGTTGAACGTCCCCTCCTCTCTCTGCCGGCGTCCATCACCAAGATGGCCGTCGGCAGGCGTCAATTAGATGGCTGCACATGCGAGATGACGACACGGCGGGGTGTCACCTGCTCTATAGACCACAAGACACCCCGGCCTCGGGACGCCCTTGCCCGGCATTAAAGCCCTCACACCGTGCTGCCCTATATACACGTGCGACTGCCAGGAAAGTGTCCTCTATTTTGCCTCCCCTCTCTCCTCATCAACATTCCAATTAGGTTTTTAAATAAAATCTTTCAATTTTCATGACACACTTTTTTTTAGACCCGGTGATGTCATCATTGGGACTCTGTGCTCTTCTATGCAATGCGGGCAGATCATGGGGGCTGTACAAAGCTTCCTGAACACATCACAGCACCCTGCATCAGTACTCCTCTCTAGAGACCTCTGCCCTGATGCAAGCAGTGGGAGGCGTTATTCGAACATCAAAAGTGCCTTGATGAGCGGGTATCAATCTGGAGGAATGGGCAGCATTTGCATGCAGACCGCCCTAGGTAACAACCCCATGTGATGATGAGCCTCCATGAGTGAAAGAACTGATATCCAATGAATGAAAGGCTAGGGAGAGTCAGGTTGGGGAGGAAAGCACTAGATGATACTGGACATCTTCCACCCAGGAAATGAGGCCAGTGATGATCTTCATTTGTGTGAGTGGTGGCGTCAGGGTTTCTTACCCTTGCTTGTCCAGTTGGCTGCAGCGTGGCTTGTGTGCAGTGTTTGTTCCTCTGTGGCGCCTTCTTATGACCAAACCCATAAACATCATCATTCTGCAACTACTGATAAAACTTCTGACAAATTCCTGTCTCAGAGTGATGATGCAACACCAGCTCACTATGTAACCATCAGCTTGTCCATTCAGTCTCCGCCCTTGTGTGTGTGTACCAAGGTTTGGCATTGATAATGTCCCGGACTTTCTCCATTGTTTTTCTTGCCATCTATTGTTATTGTTGTTTTCAATAAACTCCATTTATTTTTAACTTGCAATTTAAAGTGACATTAAACCCTCAGATTTTTTAACATAAACCAATACTGTAATGTGCGCCTTACTGTAATTCATGGTAGTTCCCCTTCTCTTTGCTGCTCTTCCTTTTAAATCCGTATCTGTTCTCATGCTGGGCAGAACTTCTGTTTTGCAGCAGACTGCCTTGTCTCTGGAATGGATACACGGTGTCTGTGTGTAGGTTCATAACCTGAGCCAGCACTACAGGAAGAGGCCCTGAGCTGAAAAGGGAAGTTCTCCCCAAGCATGAGAAGACATGAGGATTTAAAAGGAAGAGCAGCAAAGAGAAGGGAAACTACCATGGATTACAGTAAGGCGCACATTACAGTATTGGTTTATGTTAAAAAATCTGAGGGTTTAATGTCACTTTAAGTCTCAGTCTGGTTTCTTGGTATCCTGACAGGTGGCAGGCCAGCAGTGGTGGCAGGAGATGATAATGGTGGCAGGAGATGATAATGGTGGCAGGCCAGCAGTGGTGGTTGGAGATGATAATGGTGGCAGGAAATGATAATGGTGGCAGGAGATGATAATGGTGGCAGGAGATGATAATGGTGGCAGGCCAGCAGTGGTGGCAGGAGATGATAATGGATGCAGGCCAGCAGCGGTGGTAGGAGATGATAATGGTGGCAGGAGATGATAATGGTGGCAGGCCAGCAGTGGTGGCAGGAGATGATAATGGTGGTAGGAGATGATAATGTTGGCAGGCCAGCAGCGGTGGTAGGAGATGATAATGGTGGCAGGCCAGCAGCAGTGGTCGGAGATGATAAGGGTGGCAGGCCAGCAGTGGTGGTAGGAGAGGATAATGGTGGTAGGAGATGATAATGTTGGCAGGCCAGCAGTGGTGGCAGGAGATGGTAATGTTGGCAGGCCAGCAGTGATGGTAGGAGATGGTAAAGGTGGCAGGCCAGCAGTGGTGGCAGGAGATGATACTGGTGGTAGGAGATGATAATGGTGGAAGGCCAGCAGTGGTGATAGGAGATGGTAAGGGTGGCAGGCCAGCAGTGGTGATAGGAGATGGTAATGGTGGCAGGCCAGCAGTGATGGTAGGAGATGGTAAGGGTGGCAGGCCAGCAGTGGTGGTAGGAGATGGTAATGGTGGCAGGGCAGCAGTGGTGGTAGGAGATGGTAAGGGTGGCAGGCCAGCAGTGGTGGTAGGAGATGGTAAGGGTGGCAGGCCAGCAGTGTGTATTTAGTTAGGCGATTAGCACACTTCCTGGGTGCCTTTGGGATATATTGTAACTGAACACAGCTTTAATTCTTTCTATTTACGTCTCC